TTTAAAACTCTTCATATATATATATGAAGGAGATAACCCCTTTCGAACATGCATTAAAACTACGCTACTGCTCTCAAATTTATTTCTGTATTACTTGCATTCACAACCAGTATTTCAAAAAAGTTGAATTGAAAATTTCAACCGAATTTCTCACGGAACCTTTCGATTTCAAAGTTGGCTCGGTGCACTAAAAACGCCGAAAAGTTAAACCAGACAAAAGCAGAGAAGGAAATTTCCAACAAATCCAGACTCGTGCCCCCCTCATTTAAAAGCTACCTCAGCGTGTACCTAGGGCACAATACAGTCCCCTATGCTCAAGAACAACTATAGGGTACCCCCTGCGAACAGGATCACGTGTTGGCAAAAGGGGATGCGGGCTCTCTCCACAAGAAGGCCGCGGAGGTCAGCCTAATAAACCTTGTTGAGAGTGAGTTCCATATGCATGGGGCACAGCGGGATGGTTGAAGTGATGAGTTATGGGAAAATGAGGAGATTGGGCAAGCGAGGGTGTTAGTAACTTTTTTTGCAGTAGCAGATTATTATTTCGACAGCATGTCGCTACTATTGTAAAAATCGTCATGTGCGTCATGTTAATCTATGTAATGAACTACTGATAGTAGTGTTGCTGATAATTGAAAAGATTTTGAGGGAAAGTTTTCATTATTTAATTTTTTTTCTGTTTTGTTTTAATGTAATGGACTACTATCGGAACATGACCTACTGATAGTAGTGCTGCTAATAATTGAAGAGATTTTGAGGGAAAGTTTTCATTATTTAATTTTTTCCCCGTTTTGTTTTAATGTAATGGACTACTATCGGAACATGAACTACTGATAGTAGTGCTGCTGATAATTGAAAAGATTTTGAGAGAAAGTTTTCATTATTTAATTTTTTTCTGTTTTGTTTTAATGTAATGGACTACTATCGGAACATGAACTACTGATAGTAGTGCTGCTGATAATTGAAAAGATTTTGAGAGAAAGTTTTCATTATTTAATTTTTTCCCCGTTTTGTTTCAATGTAATGAACTACTATCGAAGCATTAACTACTGATAGTGGTGTTGCTGATAATTGAAAAGATTTGAGGGAAAGTTTTTATTATTTAATTTTTTTCCCCGTTTTGTTTCAATGTAATGAACTACTATCGGAACATGAACTACTGATAGTAGTAGTGTTGCTGATAATTGAAAAGATTTTCAGGGAAAGTTTTTATTATTTAATTTTTCCCCCCGTTTTCCTTCAATGCTGTTGTCTTTTAATGTTGAAATATAAAAAAATACTGCGCTTGCATTTAAAAAAATGAAAATAGAGAAGTTAGGTCATTTGCAATTCCATTCTGTTGTCTCCTAATGATAAATTACAGTCATATATACAGATAGATTATTTTCAATTTCGATTCAATTCTCTTATCTAATGTTAAGATGTAATAAAACTGCTCATTCATATTTTCCATAAGAAAATATGATAAAACTTGCTATTACAATATTTTCACACAATCTACACCTATTATACCTTATAATTATGATAATTTTCCAAAATCTACAAACTATACATATAATTTGCAACTTGCTCTGATAGGCCTCATTTTATTCTCACAAGAACATTTTAAAATTGAAAAAGAACGGAAAAAAAAAATTCCTAATTTACTGAATAGTTTGTTACAACAAGTATATTTTTCCATCGCGCTTTTTAAAGTTCCATTTTCGAGTAAAATGTGTTTTCTACGACTAAAATTTGTTGATTGTGCAAAATTTTAAAATTCGTTTTTACACATTTCTTATAAATAATAATAACGTACCTCATAAAACTTCCTATTATAATAATTTTGCCCAATCTACAAACTATACGCAAACGTATAATTTGCTACTCAGAAAATGTTCTGATATGCCTCATTTTATTCTCACAAAAATATTTCAAAATTGAAAAAGAACAACAAAAAAAATTCCTATTTTACTGATTAGTTTGTTGATGTACTGTAAGATTCAATGTAAATTCTTAATTATCAGATGATTATATACAGCTTTACTGTTTTTAAGTGACTGAAACCGGTTTGCATTTGTTTACGTTCGTGTATCAATTGGTTAAATTAGACGATATACGATATAAATTAGACGATATATTTATATAAATACAGAATATTTATTATATCAGGTATTATATTAGTATATTGTAATAATTAGAAATTATTAAAAATTAGAATTATATTAATAATTGGAATTACCAAATTATTAGACGTGTTTTAATAATTACATATTTTGCACGAGTTTATATGCAATACTTTTATATTTAAACATACATGTAATGGGTTTTTATTNTGATAGGCCTCATTTTATTCTCACAAGAACATTTTAAAATTGAAAAAGAACAACAACAAAAAAATTCCTATTTTACTTATCAGTTTGTTGATGTACTGTAAGATTCTATGTTAAATCTTAATTATCAGGTGATAATATACAGCTTTATTGTTTTTTAGTGACTGAAACCGGTTTGCACTTGTATACGTTCGTGTACCAATTGATTAAATTAGACGATATATGACATAAATTCGACGATTGGATATATTATACGATATATTATATAAATATAGAATACTTATTATATCAGGTATTATATTAGTATATTGTAATAATTAGAAATTATTAACAATTAGAAATTATTAACAATTAGAATTATATTAATAATTAGAATTACCAAATTATTAGCCGTGCTGTAGTGTTTTAAAAATTGCATATTTTGCACGAGTTTATATGCAATACTTTTATATTTAAACATACATGTAATGGGTTTTTATTCAAGTGAGTTTTTATATATACTTCCTATTTGTATTTATTTTTAACGTATTGCATTACAATGTTAACCAATTGATTCATGAACATAAGCAAGTGTAAACTGGTTTCATCGGCGTGAAAACAATAACGCTGTGATTTTACATAGAATCCTATATAGGGCGTCTAATAATTTGGCCAGGGACTGTATTTAAGTAATAGGAGTCACTGACGATAGACGATAACACAAATCTGATTCACTTTCATATAAAAAGCTACACCTATCTTTTATATGTGTTATTCTCATTCATTTCTTTTTTTCTCCTCTTTTTTTTACTTTCAAGGCTTACAATTATGCAAATTTAAATAAAACTATTTTTTTTATCTGTCTCAAAACAAGATATTTAAAAGATGGAATAAGAATTATAATTAATTTGTGGAAGTTTTTTTTTTCTTTCCAGAACGAATTTAAAACTCTTCGATTTATTTTTTAATTTTTTATTTTGCCTTTGTCATTTATATGCAGTTTCCACTTTAAAAAAACTAATTTTTGCATGCGGATAGTTATAAACAATATGCGAAAGTAAAAATAAGTCTGTCATCGTTACACTGAATAAACACCGCACAACGTACTTAAAAAAAGTACTGAATATTTAAGACCTAAATACTTGATTTTTTTACAAAAAATAAAATAACTAGAATATCCCCTTTTCTATCGTAAGCCAACTGACAAACTACTAAAGGCAAACTAGATATATATATAAAAAAATAAATAAGAGTTAAAAAAAATCTCAGAAAACGATAGGAAAAGATACAGCAAAAGATTTCTCGAGAGAAATTCTGAAAATCTGCTGTTAGTGTTAGAACAAAATAAATAATGTAAAAAGAGAGAAAAAAAATGACAAAAGGGCAGACCTTGTAAAAAAAAAATCGGAAAAGGGGAGTGAATAAAGAAAGCGCCAGAAACGTAGGGCTTCTTCGAACAGAATTGGCGAGCAGGGGCGCAAGCGAAAGGGGGCAACGCGCAAAAGACAACGAAGCCAATTTGCCCCTCATCTTTCGAACATCCAATTATATACGGGCATCTCTAGCGTCCCACGTGACCGTCTATTATTCTCTTCCTCCCCTTCTTCCACGGGTCTTTTTCTTTATTCTTCACAACTTTTGTCAAAGGGATGCGTATGAAAGGGGAAGGGGAGATATGGGGGTAAAGGTCATACCAATTGAAGAAGTCGTTTGCATTGAAAGTTTTCATTGGGGGGTGGCTCTAGCCGGAGCCCTGTTCTAGATTTGACACACGTCCAGTCTATGCGGCCGACTTCAAATTAACTCTATGCGACAAAGCGGAAAAAAAAGTACTACCAATAATTCCAGATCGCATTGTCAGGATCAATGTAATTATATCTTTAGTTGTGAGAGAAAGTTCTGCATTATCAGCACAAATTGGGAACAAAAAATTCCTCAATTTAAATAACTTTATTTGCAAGAGGCCGAAAGTTTAATTTTGAGCACAATATCATTTAATAAAAACTTTTTTTAAAAGAATTTAATCGATAGTAATAAAATAGAAAGCTATATTTTCACAATTTATTTAAAACGAACTTTTAACCCCTCATACTGATAATTCCCAAACTTGTCCTAAGGAGTAGTTGTTATTCATTTGTTATTCTATAACATTAAAGAAAAAAATGAATTTTTTTACTTGTAACATAGTTACATAGTTGCGAAATAAGTGTTCCTTTTTAATCAATTTATAATATCTGAAACAAAACTTATTTACAATGCCTATGACTGTGGTCATTATTTTATTGCATTTGAAATTAAACCTTGATTTTTTAACTGTATTCGGCACATTCACAGAGCGATCGTGTTTGTTAATTATTTATAACATATGAAAAAAAAAATATTTTATTCTATTTTATTTATACAGGTACACAAAGCCATTGGCTGTGTTAATTATTTAATAACGTAACGAACTAAAACTTCTGAAATTTTTACTCAATTTAAATGTTATTACAAAGCAATTATCTGTATTAAAAGTGTAACCTTCGACGAACTGAAAATGAACTTGATAAACTTAAAAGGATTACAAAAAATAAAAGTGAAAAAAATTATAGAAATTCATAGATCGTGAAATGCATAGAATTTTCATGATAAGCAATATTTAAGCGGTTTCGCATTTTTTAAGAACATGCAGAAAAAGTAAAAACAAATATAGAGTATCTATTTTATTAAACAATACAAAATCTTGGTTAACAGCTGAAACTCTTTGATGAAAATTGTAATTAGCATTTCAATTTTAAAAAAATATTAAAATAAATTTTTTTTGTTATTATAATAATAAATTTACAAGCATATTTCAAAACAAAAGATGGAATTTCTGTCTTATTAATTCGCTGAAGAAGAAAGATATGGATGTCAATTATTTTGCGAATCAATCAAGTGCTTTTAAATCTGTCAATGCATTTCAATAAGATTTAAAAAGAAAAAAAGCAAAGAAAAAGAACATTGGAAAAAAGCACCGGGTGAAAAGTACGATATACTTTAACAATTACATGAATTTAATAACCGATTTGATCTAGGTTGTTAGTCATGAATTCAATATAATTAAATATTTATTCGAATGTAAATAGATTCTTAATGCACATTCTGATTTTTCTTCATTGTTCATAATACAATTTTACAATTCATTTAATAGTGTTATTATATAATGTAACAATTAACAATAGTTTTCAGGAGATTAATTGATTAATTTTCCAATAAGTTGAAAGTATTGACAGAAATTCGGAGATGTTTCATTTTAATGCATTTTTTTAAAAAGAAAAAGTCGTTGATAAAGCATAATCAAAACACATTAAGTGTATTTATTGGAATTCAGAAAAATTATGGAGCTACTTACGAGTCACAAAAATTTTGTTCAACAGTATGAAGTGGACAAAATTTCTTTAAATTTATCCTTATACTTCATTAAATTTTTTTTAAAAAATATCTATTTTATTAGAATAAATATTTCATTACTTTAAATTCGGGCATAATTCGTTCAACGGCTCAAACAAATTTTCGGTGTAAGTTCATAACAATGTGTAAGTTAAAGTGCTTTTCTTTTCTGGTGCTTTTTTCAAAAACTTTTTTTGGGGGGTTCTTATCTGTGTCGATTTCCAATACTCTTTTTTCTTCATTTAAATGCCAGTATTCCGAACTTTGCAAAGCTGAAAAACTTCGATAATTTTTAAAATTATTCACAACATTGATTACTCTTTTGAAAGAAAATAAGTTATTTAATTTCGAAATTACCTTAAATTAACTTTTTCGTTTATAAATGTTTTGACCTAAAATTGTTTCAGTGTATATGGAGAAATTTATATTCACACAAAAACGAAAACTTGAAATTTTTGAACAAGTAAATATCCCATACTCTAGTATATTGTGGGAAAACAAAATTCAATTTCAGATGTAATATTTATTGTTATTAAAAGGATTAAAAATAATAAATTATCTTTGAATTAGTTATACTTATTTTACGGGACATAAAATTAGTTTTAATAAAATGAAACTTTAAGAACTGCATTTTTCAGAAAAAGAGGGAAAATATATTTTTGTCGGAACAAATACGAAAAATATCGGGTAAGATGTGAGGGGAATTTTAGGTGGTCTTAGTTCATTATGATCATCATCATGTTCTTCTTTTTACTCCACTTGAAAGATGTAATTTTTAAAACTTTTATTTTATTATTTTCTTCTTTTTAGTTTTGCACCTGTTAGTTTTTGTCGAAGATTGACCATAAATTCTATTTGCAGAGGCTAGAAAATACTTAAAATTTGTATTTGTATACAGCATAGAACACAGCTCCAGCTCAGTTTTAAACACTCCCACTATTTAAAAAAACTAACTGTCAAAATTCAGATTAATGAAAAAAAATTTACATTGTTACTTTTTCACGGATTAGCAGAAGAGTTGCGAGTGCTCTAATTAGTTGGAAACAGTTCAATACTTTAATTGAAAGATTTCATCCCCAATATAAAAGCAAGTTAATAAGTGACACTGTTTTACTGTTTTATCCCCAATAAAAAGCAGTAGAGTGAAATAAACATCGTTTTCTTACCTTTCAATTTAAATTTAACAAAAGAACTTAGTTCGGAAGGAATAAGTCTTAAGGACAAATTACCGACTACTAAGGTCGTAGTTTAACAACAGGAATTATGTGAATTTAGAGGCTAAGAAAAAGGAGCTTATTATCAATCGAAATATAACTAAAATTTAGAAAATTAATCCTAAACAATTAAGTGACATTTTCTTAGAAATTAATAAACTAGAGGAGGGGAGGCAAAACGGTTTAACTAACGGTTAACTAAGAAAGAACTGATGGAGATCTACTAAAGGGATTATATAAAACACAAAGCAGTTACGCTATTCTCAATAAATTTTGGAAAAACAAAAATGCAAAATATTCAACAGAAATTAGAATATTCAATACTGATGTTAAATCTGTACTACTATATGGATCTGAGACATAGCACTGTAATAAAAATAACACGAAAGAAAAGAAGCTTCAAGTATTTATTAACAACTCTCCAAGAAGAATATTGCAGAATCTTGCACATCAAGTTGTTCCATAAAATTTGTAATGCAGAAATCTTTAGGAAAGCCAAACAGAAACCGATTGAACTGGAAATTAAAGTATAACGTAAATGGAAATGGATAGGTCATGTTCTACGAAAACCTGAAAAAGTTAAAGTAAAACACATTTTTAATTGGAACCCTCAAGGCAATAAGAAGGGCGAGGAAAGCCAAACAGAAACCGATTGAACTGGAAATTAAAGTATAACGTAAATGGAAATGGATAGGTCATGTTCTACGAAAACCTGAAAAAATAAAGTAAAACACATTTTTGATTGGAACCCTCAAGGCAATAGAAAAAAAGGAAGACCTAAAAATACTTGACGCAGGACGATTGTAAATGAATTGAAAACGCAGAGACATGAAGGGAGGCAAAATATATGGACACAAATAGAGTGAGATGGAAAGCTATGATAGAATCCCTATGCTACAATTTACAATGAAAAGGAATATGCACATGAATTTAAAATTAAGAGACTGAAAAAGGGTCTAAAACAGCAAAAAGTAAACAAAAGAAAGTATCTATTTTT